GTAGTTCAACATTTGTTATTCATATATTGGTTGGAGTGCTTCCTTTTAATCAATAATAATACAGTTACAATTATGCATGTCGATGTTAATTGTTCCCAAATTGCTGTCATTTTTAAGAATAGTTGCCGTAATGGTAAGTCATGATATTAATCTTGATCCTGACGACATAAACTAATATAATCAATCAAACAAACAAAATAGAAGCTCTTAATTGCTGAGAATGAGTTTATGCAATAGAATAAAATGTGAATCTATGTTGTATGGCAAAGACAATTAGCCCTGTTTGTTACGCTTTTTTTAAAATGTTATTATGAAAAAGTGTTTTAAGTTAAGTGGAGTTGAGTTGAATCAAATCGAATTGTATTTGAATCTAAAAATGTGTTTGGTAAAATATCTGAAAATTATATCAGAGTTGGATAAAATGCAGAATAATTGTTTGGTACATTTTTTGAAAAAAGGTTTTTAAGACAAAATAGTTGTTTGGTACATTTTCTGAAAATGTTTAGATTTTTTTTAGCTCTTTACATTTGTTAATTTAGCTAAAACCCTCATAAAAAAAGTTTAAAAATTAACTAAAGCATTCCAACCACCCAAGAGGACAACCAAGCCACCACTGTTGGACGACAATTGGCAGTCGTCAGAACGTCGCACAACCGGCTGTATTTGGCCGATCGTGCGCTGATACGGCCATTTCGTGCCAAATCCATCATGGATTTGGCCAAAAACAACCAAAGATCATGCTGTTGACGGCCAGATCTCTGGCCATCATTAACGGTCTGATAGCTCGGCTAGAATCTGGCTGTCAATAGCCAGATCTCAAGGCGTAGATCTAGTCGTTGACAGCCAAATCGACGCACAACTGGTAGGCCGGTCGGTTGTGCACCGTTCTTGCCATGTCGGCCACCGGTGACCAACGGTGGTGGTCTTGAGTGGATTAATTTTCAGATTGGAATGAGAGAAAAATGAGAAGGAGAGAAAGAAAAATGTTTTCAGTTGAATAGAGTTGGATAATCTAAAAACAAGTCTCACCCTCTTTTCATTTTTAGACAAAAAAAAAAACCTTATTTGAGTTGGATTAATTTTTCATATTGGATTAGTCTAATAAGTAAACAAACACATATCCTATTTTTTAATCCAAATAGGATAACAGAATAATGATCCAAAGTAGTGTAACAACCAAAGGAATTTGTTCAATCTTCTTGTTGAATGTTGAATTATTGTCCCTCTTTAGCTTGTTAATTTACCAAAATTCTTGCAATTGTCACCCTGAAAGCTCCAGTAATTATAGAAAATTACTAAAAAGAAAAAAATGAGATGTTGGCTCCGTTTGTTTCTTTTTTTTCCCACTATCCTATCCTATTATCTCATTCAGTCCTATCCAAATACACATTTGTTTTAATATTCTCAATTCTCTTCAAAATCCAATTTTATTCTATTTAACTCAAAACATTAACAATTACCTTTCTCAATAAAAGTTTTAAAATTAACAAAAACACCCCACCCACCCAAGCCACCATCACCAGCTAGCAGCCACTGCCGTTGCTTCCACTGCTAGCCGTCGGCACCGTAACGATGCACGATCGAATGGATCTGGTCAATCGTACACCGATCTATCCGTTTTCGGCCAGATTCACATGGATCTGTCTGTTTACAGCCAAATATCTGACCATTGACAATGCACGCATTATGCCTGCTGTTAAATACAAAGTTACGAACTTTCCTCAACATGCAAAACAAGTCCGTTGTAAAATAAAAACTTAAACTTCTACGTTATTTAATGATTTACGGCAACAAATAAGATTCCAATGTTGTTTGCAGGTGACAAATCCCACATAGTAACTGATTATAAATATATCTTCGGATATGAATTGCAACTATAACTTCCCTATCTTCGACATTTGCAATAACATTATTAGTATTGCATGACAATGAAGCCTTCTTACTTCTATAGCCTCCTGGCTTTCCTGCTGTTTGTATGCTCTTTGAAAGACTTCAAACTTTGTGCAGCTGTAGATCCTACAAAAGGGTTCACTTAGGTTCCCTTAACAGACAGCAACTTTGAATTGCAGAAACCATATGATATTCCTCTTGCAGAACGCTACAGTTATCAAAATGGAGTACACAAATTATGGGTCTACGCTAATGACAAGCCACATGACCCCAACAGCCGTACCCAACCGCGCACCGAAATTCGCATAAAAGTGAGTATTAAGAGAGCTTAATATTATTGTTGAGTCACTACTTAGGAGTTAGGCCAAACCCGATGCCAGGGATCTAGCATCGCTGCATCGGGGTGTTGAGTTCATACTCCGACGCGTGCATGGCTTCGGCGTATGAATTGAATACTCCAACACTGCCCATGTCAGGGTAATGCTATTCCTCCGAGAAGGGGTGGAGGCAGAAAATTTTTTGGGGGGCCGGTGTTATCTTCAACAAATAAAGGGGTTTAGATTTAGAATACAAAAAATAAATTTAGAAAGCTGCTCTAAAGACTAATGCCTAATGGGGTTTAAAGTGTCAGGTTTAGTGAATGGGGTAGCAAAACGTTAAAAAGTGAAATGATATATTTCTATATAAAATTTTAAAAAATTTTGTGTGGTTAGGGTGGCAGTGACCACCCTAGGCCAACGCCCTAGGCCAACGCATAGTTTCACCACTGCCTTGCAGGCAGATTGCGTTGGGAAACCACAGCAATTTGTCCATATGTCGAGGTCATGCATGGTGTCGGCGTATGGACAGACAAAATCCACTTCTGTTTACACTAATTTTACGTCGAGGTATCCCTTATTTCCGGTTGTGCACGTATTAACATATGTTTAATCTTTGTGCAGGGTCTTGACTATTCATCAGGAATATGGCAATTTGAAGGGTATGGCTTTGCGCCAAATGGGACCTCAGGTGTGACAATATCACAGATCCATGGTGCAGCCGAGGAGGCCACCACAATAATTCTAAGGATTTACAATGGAGACATCAGGTATTACAGTGGAGATGTCGTGGCCACCGGTCTTTATGACAAATGGTTTAGGCTAAATTTAATCCATGATGTGGGTGGAGGAACAGTGACTGTTTACATTAATGGAGTTGAAAAATATTCAACCAAAGATAGAGGGCAAGGTAGTGATTTGTATTTCAAGTGTGGCGTTTATGCTGCACCAAAAGATACCAGCTACCACATGGAATCCAGATGGAGAGACATCAAGATTTATAAGAAATGATACAAAATTATAATTAGCAAATATTGTGATTTAAAAGTATTAATATAGAATTATAGTTTCTGTATTTTTATTTTATTATTAATTAACAATTTTATCATGCAAGTATCAGTGCAGAATATTATAGCACCCAGAAAATTTATTATATAGTTTCCTCTTAATTCAATTAATCGTTGCATGTGAACCCTTTAAGAATGAAATATTATTTAAAAATAATAATACTGGAAACATCCAAAGATCATAACTAAGCTCTTAAGAAATTATACCTAGTCTTGATGTAGAATCAACTTTGTAATATTGACAGAGGATTCCAAAATATGAGGTTAGGAATTGTCTGGTGCACAGAAAATCCAAGAAAAAGAAAACAAAACTTTATACTCCAATATTTTAAGAGGTTGGTAACATTATTCAGAAAGGATAAATTCAGGTTTTAAAATTAAGAATCTCTGAGTAATTAGTAGTGTAAATGTGAAAGAAGAAGCAACTCAAATCGAATGCCAGACGAACGAGGAGAACAAAAATCTGTTGAAATTTGTGTAGACATTTCTCATTGAGCAAGAATTAATTAAGCTAACCAAACTTAGATGACCAAGTGGTTTAATAGAAACTTTTGGATATATTACTTAAGAGGTCTTGAGTTCGAGTATTTCCTCAGTTGAATGGTCATTGCAACTTTTACCTGCCTAGTAGTTCCAGGGTCCCGAAGGATTATTTGAGGTATGTATTGGCTCGGACACCCTCGGTCATTAAAAAAAAAAAAAAAAATTAATTAAATTTTGCTTATTAATTCTAGATCTCCCTAATAAATTCTCTCTCCACACTCTTTTTTATTTAGCCCTGTCAATCATAGAGATTTTTTCTTTCGACCATATTTCGATTGTTAATATGATATAAAATGATCGCTACTACAAAAAATACTATACCCTTGATCATGAAATATCGATTGCTTATTGAACCCTATGAATTGCGTGAAAATAGGATACTCAAAATTCGTGAGTACAAGAGTTTTATATAACTTTCTTGATGGAAAAAAATGTGAATGAAAGATCCCAACTTAGAAATATATATAATAGGATCATTATTGTTATTTTACAGAATATAAACTAGACATTGTACTACTTTTTCTTGGCTTCTTGTCATTTGGCATATACATGGATTCTTCCTAAGAAAGGCATCAATCAATCTTTCCCACGTTTTGGCATCATGCTGCTAATGGATTTTGATTTATCCAAACACACTTAATTACATAAGCTAGAATTAACTTGAATAGATAATTATATTAATTAATTATCCACACCTAGCTCTTGAATTAAAGTTATATGTAGTTGTCCATAAATCGCAGTTATTTTTGAGAAATTACATTGCCGTAAATTTAACGGCAAGCTGCATGGATTCACTTTTTCGTTTAATCTTAATTAATAAGACAGAATAAGAGCACTATATAAACGACTCCGATGTTGTGTTCTTGTAGAATGTTAGACTAAAGATTTACTGTCTCAACAAAGCAGATTTCTTATGCCTATAATTAACCAAAATATTATAAAATATTCTTTTAATTGCCACCCTGAAATCAGTAATAATATATACAAAACAGAAGTCACAAAAATTTTCATATGCAAACTTAAAATCCAAATCTCCTTATACAAACAATCTTGCTATTATTTTTATATGCTTTGTAGCAACAAACTAAGGTTCTTATTTTGTCTAAAGGTGGGAAAAGCCAAACAATATCTGGCTATAAATATGTTTTCAGGATGTGAATGGTGTACTAAAACTTCCTTAAACAGCTTCTAAATTTCTCGGAAATTGAGATTATTATTGCATGACAATGAAGACTTCTTACTGCTGTAGTGTTGTTGTGTTGTTGCTGTTTCTATGCTCTTTGAAAGAGCTTCAGCTATGTGTTGCTGATCCTACTGATGGATTCACTCAACTGCCATTATCGGACGACAACTTTGTCTTGCAGAAACCATATAATGTGCCCTTGAGTGCTCGCTACAATGACTGGGATGGAGTTCGAAGTTTCTGGGTTTACAACCATGACAAGCCTTTCAAGCACGACAGCGGCACTAGACCTCGCACAGAAGTGCGCATTCAGGTATATAATGTTTATCACTACAGCAATCACGCGTCACATAGACTGTGTTAGGTATTTTATGTATAAGGATGGATAGACAAAGATTCGTTTAACTAGTATTTTGGATAGTTGATAAACATCCGAACTATAATATTCCAAACCAACTAAAAAGCGAGTTAGACCGGTCAAAGATATTGCCGGAGATGACAAAGGCATCTCGTTATTGAAGCTTATAAGGATAGAAGAGTCTCATGTGAGTAGCACGACGTCATTAAGCTTATAAGGATAGAAGAGTTTCATGTGATGTGGGTAGGAAGACGTCATTAAACTTATAAGAATAGAAGAGTTTCATGTGGGTAGGAAGACGTCATTATCTAACATATCAAACTTTTGAGTAGTTGACACTTGACAAGCACCTGATCCCTAACATAAGCAATACTACGCCAACAACCATTTCTCACGATCTTCAATCATTTCTTACAATCTTTCTCTTACAACTCTGATAACTCTAATGTTACAGTTTGTAATTGGTCAGTTTATAATTAATCAGTAAGATCAATGTGATACTCATTATGAATTGACCAATTACGAGTTATCACATCAGGGTTATAAGAGAGGATTATTAGTGTAGTATTATTCCCCTACGACAGGTCCAAATTTTATACAACTATTCAATTCATCATCAATATGATACTCAATGATACTATCATGATCTTTACTTTTAACATTAGTCAGTTGATGTTCTTTTCCCTATTGATATTGAGATTTTGCATAATGAAAATTGCCTCAACTGGAAGCATAGATATACAGGTTGTTCTAAATTAAATTTAATGGTTTCTGAATCAGGGATATGACTATTCCTCCGGAGTGTGGCAATTCGAAGGCTATGCTTATGTACCAAAAGGAACCTCTGGTGTCACAATAGTGCAGATTCATGGTGCATCCGAGGGAGCTACAACCCTACAGCTGAGAATTTACGATGGAAACATGAAGTACTACAAATACAACGTTGTGGCAACTGATCTCTACGACAAATGGTTCAGAGTTAACATAATCCACAATGTCGATGAGGGTAAGATTACAGTATTCATTGACGGTGAACAGAAGTTTGTGGTAAATGACCAGGGGCCAGGAGACCTGTATTTTAAATGTGGTGTTTATGCGGCACCAGCTGGTTCAAGCAACTACATGGGATCAAAGTGGAAAAATATCAAACTTTTCAAGAAATGATGACTTAAATTTTTATTATGAATGTATACAGCTAAATTTAAATCCAGTCAGTGATGAGTAGTGGGTGTAAATCTATCTATTTTACTAGCATTAATGCAGCTAAACATTTCATATAGTTCAGTAACTTTCTACTCTTACGTTCGAAGTCTTGATTCACGGAATTTTGCAATTCACACAAAATATCACTTTGCTACGTTCTTCGCTCAATAATGGTCTTAGAGTGTATCTTAGTACTGGTTATACCAGCCAGGTGCAGAACTCTCCACCGGCAATGGACATTAAACTGTAGCAGGCATGAAAAATGGAAAAACCAATTTGTAGATTTAAAAAATCAAGCTCTTGGAACTTCAGATTCACGTTACACGAATAAAGACACAAGAAACATTGTCGTCAATGCTTTGAGACAAATCTACACTGTTATTTACTTTTATATTTTTTTTCTCTCTATCAATCAAACAGGTATAAGAGACACATGAAAGAAATGAAGCCAATAGAAGAGAACCGCCAATGAAATGAATGAATCACTTAACTAGAATGATAGCAATAAAATAATTGAGAAAAAAATACCTAACTATATCACGCTATAAGTTCTCTATGAAGTTTACACACCACCACAAGGCTGACAGCACCACTTTCCGATTTGAATAAAGAACCACTGGATAGGATTTGGATTATCGTCTCTCTCCGGTGATGGAGGAGGCAGTGGTAGCTCAGCAGGTAGATGCCGATGAAATGCATCAACTGCAGCTGCAACACCATCTTCATTCTCTATTGACTTTGCCAACTCCATTGCTTGAGATTTCACCTGAAAAAATCAAAGTCCAGTTCAGAAACAAAACTTCTTTTAAGTATTGAAGCATATCTCAGATATCGATTCTAAGTTCATCAAAACAGAAAGGTAAACCATACATTATGTATTAATAATAGTCTTCAAATAGCAAAAAAAAAAAAAAAGAAAAAAAAAAAACACTCAATGCAATATGCAACAATACCTCTGGCTGGAGCATAAATCTTATGGCATTTGAAAGATTCTCAACGGTAAGCTGAGATATTGGTATTGGTGCAGGTCCAAGCCCTCTATCCTTTATCCTATCGCCCCAAAAGAACTGATCTCCAAAGAAAGGAACTATAGTTGTTGGACACTGTAATGCACAAATTTTAAGTTAGACAAAACCAACCAATTAGTTCTAAACAGGCAATCAGTTATTCCACCTAGTGTCTTCCATAGCCAAATAACTAATTGCAATGAAACAGTATAAAAGATCTATTCAGAAATGCAGTCAGGAAGAATAAATGAAAAAACCCGAAGCTAAAAGAATGTTACCCCAGCTCTTAATCCTGTTGCTGTTGTTCCGGCACCACCATGATGAACCTGCAAATATTGGGGCAATATAGTTTCAAGGTTAATGGGATTTTATGAGCACAATTATAGAAAATTCAAAAAGAATGCTCTAAGAAACAACTCCACATCATCAGTGGCAGAAACAGGGAGGAAAGGGGGTGCTTCAGTCTTTACATTCCCAACCTCAATTCTAATGCCTAGTGAAATCAAGACAAAAATAACTTCTCGTATTATGATTGTTTCTTTACGAACAATTAAATCTTGCAACTTGATGCCAACAGGTTAATAAGTTTATATGCTCTTTCTTTTCTTCTTTTGTTGAAATTTTTTATGTATTTACATCAAGAAAGAACCTAACAGCTTTTGTATTGACATTGGTTTTCTTTCATTATGTAAAATTTAACTAATCACAAGTCTCAACAATCGAGATAATTTGTTTTTTGGTTTTCATATTCAGAAGGATTCATTGATTGGATTGTACAATTCTCGAAATTGCTGCTAACTTTCTTATTACTTAGGGTTATGCTCATACTTTGGTCTGCCTCAAAATTGTGTATGCATCAATGCCACATGCTCTTCCTCTACCACTAAATATAGGCGATGATATCAGCTATCCTAATTCTCTATCTAGTAAAATGCATCCACATCCAGAAGTTCACCTTAAGTTTAGAAGACTTACCACCGCAGAACATTGAGGAAACAGCCAATCATGAGGGCAGTCCTCCACAAGGAAAATATTATCAGGAACTTCTGTAACTGCACGATGTGAAATATTTTGTAAGAAAAATTATGCAGGTCAATTTCTCGTAAAAAAAGGGAAACAAATTTGCGTGCTTATATTCTTAAACGTACAATTAAAACATAATTATAAAGGTCTTAATGACTACAGATGAAAAGCCAAAATATGTCGATATTTGGCTGTTGCAATCATTATGAAACAAGTTATGGAAACACATTACTCGTTAATAACAATCTTCAAATGTAGCAATAGTAAAATTACAATTATTATCGTCAAAACATTGGAATGAAGTCACATGTTTTCTTAAGCATTCTTCAGTAAGTTTGATCCTTACAATTATTATCGTCAAAACATTGGAATGAAGTCACTGGGCTCTGATACCATAGTTACTATTAAAAACATATTTGTAAGGGATTTCGTCAAATAAAAGATGAAAGACAAAATGCTTATCAAAATAAACAAAATTATTACTAATAACACAATTTGAATGGACTTTCTACTCATAACAAGCAATTTACAACTAACCCCATTCTGGAAAAAACATATTATTCATAATTGGAGGTTCATTTGGAATATAGAATATAATCATGCAGTGAGAATTCAAGATATCAATAGGTGCGGAAAACACAATGGCAAACAAAAAGGAAACTACTTACAACTTCCAAGATCTCCCCAACCTCGGTCAACTATTCCTCTTTGTCCTGTATCTTTTAGTGCCTCCAATATAATATCCGTAGTTTTCTTAGGATCATCAAGAGGCTGAGAAGCAAGTGGAAAAGGAAATAATATTACATGTTTATACGTAGATGGTCCTTTAAGTAAAAAAATGACAAAAAAATATGTGAATTCTGATTGTCAAATGTGAGGTGCGAGATGCAAACCCAGTCCAGGACTCTTTTACTTCACAAATGATAAAAGAGCAGCCAGGAATATAAATGATATGCCGAGGTTCAGAAATAATTTCATAACATTTCATCAAAATTTAGGGAAAATATGATATCATGAAGCCACGTTAGATGACAGAAATCACATCACAGTATCAATCAATTCGCAAAGAGTTTAGTGAGGTCACCCATACCATGCTCCCAAATCCAATATATATAGGTTCTGGTCCATTTTTAATCCATTGAACAAACTCTTCTTGTGGTTGATACTTCGACCCAAGGTTTAGGAAACAATATCCAACAACATCAACTAGAGGCCCCCAGTCTGCATTTTGTTAAATGAAGTCAACTTTTCCAATCTGTAATATAGAAGGCATAAATATTTGCATTGGCATTTAAAAGAATACAGTAATGACCTAGATATTCATACAGCAAGAAGAATTTCTGAAGAACACATGAAGTTGATAGCAATCTGAGAAGTCCAATCTTTTGGAGAATAGTGATAGCTAATGTTTTTGTCAAGAGAAAATACTGAGAATGATACTATATTCAACTATCTCTATTCAAGTTCTCAGCAATTAAAGAACTCAGTCTAGAATGATAATAACATTAAGATTTTTATGCCACACAATTAGTAGTGCTAAACTGTGCAGGTATTTAAACCACAAAAAAGTTTGGAGTAGCAAAATTGCGGTGATAGTATAACTACACCATATTGACATTAGAGAAACCATCTACTTAAACATTTGTATATGCATGGAGGTCTAATATTTCTGATGGTTCTATCCTTCAGTTTTTACTACTAAAAAGTAAACTTCAGCCATCAGGCGTGAATTTTAGTTTGATAGTGGAAATTCTACGATGAAGTGAATTATGTTCAGTATAGACAGGGATGGTTATTTTTCAAGTTCATACAGTGAATAAAGTGGATCTAGATTAGGGTTAGATTATATTATTCTATCAGGCTAGAACCTGTTAAACTAGACCTGGAGGAGATAAATTGGACTGTGCCGGCAAGTAAAAATTTGACCTATTCAAAGGTCCAATAAAATAAGATAAGACACTTCCACTGGTGAATTAGTTCCCTCAATGCACCTTGCATCCATCAGAGCTAGAAACAGCCAAAGAAAGATGTAACATCCTAAATTACCATCTTCTATGCTACTTAAGCAAAAGATCCAGGCATAAAGCAAGAAATACGGCATAATTCTGAATTTTAATACCAGAAGATCAGTGGATACCCATCCAGACATCAACTAATTGAGCATGAAGTAGAAAATACAACATGGATTAGAGCAAGGTGTGGATCAATTTTACGTAAAAATAACTCTGTTGAACGAAGTTAAAAGACAGCATGGTATGAATGAACAAATAGCACATTATAACATTGATGTAAAAGGAAAAAAACGCATCCCTACCACTTGGCTTTGGCACAAGATGAGGACTCCACATATACCCCGTTGGCAAATGAGTTATTGATCCATGGTATGTACTGAAGTATGCAATAGGAGGAAGCTTCAACTTCCTTTTCCTGAAGTCATTAATATAACTCCTTATGCCCCACCATATCAGTAAATCCACTACTATATATGAAAGCTGGATTCAGAAAAGAACAAAAATGGACAGGCAAATTTGTCACAGAAAGTAAGAAGGTATAACCAATAAAGAAATATAACATTCATATCAAATGAAGAACATACCCAATATCCAGCACTTTGAGGTACCCGTGCCAGTGGATGAGGAAATTCATAAGTTGGCCTGCCTATTGAAAATAGAAGTAAGAAGGCATAACGAGAATGAAGTTTTACTTACATGAAAATAAGATGCCTATTGAAAACATGTTAGAGATTTAAAATAACTTTCATATATTAACAAGCAAGGATAGTCAAACTCACGTCCAAGGCATTGTGAAGAAGATGTGAAGGGGTACACCAAGAGCTTCAGCAACATGTGCATGCCCTGCACTCCAGAGAACATGTTGAAATCTAATGTTACACAAAAATATATATGAACATTAAAATTTTATCAAATGAGAATAAAAAGTAAACCAATTCCCCTCCCCAAATACTGGGATATCCAGCTCTAATTCCAAAGGAATGTAAAAAAACATAAAACCCAAACACAAGCTAAACGTGCATCTATCAAATTTCAAATTTCTAAAAGTATCCGTAAAAATTAACATAAGAGTGATTTAAAGGGATGATGATAATATTAAAACAACCCAGCATGTTCCACAACTTACCATAAGCAGGAGGATTTGCAATAATTGCCTGAGCTCTAAAAGGCGCGCCAGTTTCCATATCTGGCTCTGTGCAAGCCGGAAGAAGAGATTCTATAATGGCCTTCAGTTGCTTTCTTTGTATTGATATCTCCCCTGGTCCAGATGGGATCAAACCTTTATTCCGGGCCATATCTAAATGAAAAATCATAAGGGTTAAGAAAATATAAGAAAAAAAAGGGATCCTAGAAAGTGATCCCTTCACAGATAACAAACAAGTATATTAGCACCAAAAGATAAAAAATAAAAACCAAGAGAAATTCCCTAATTAGGACCTTACATCCTGCCAAAACCCGAGGATCACCACCCAAAGGAAAAAACTCTACACCAGCTGACCTCACAAAATCTTTGAAGTTAGCATGTGTTGCCAACCTAACATGATGACCAAACTCCTGAAAGCAAACAATGAACCATGTTAGATAACATCCTATTAAAAAAAAAAAAAAAAAAACACATTAGACAACAGATCAAATAGAGCAGAATACTGCAATGAAGTAATTCTGAGTCTTCTTAAGTATAAATTACACAATGGAAGATCAACTATAATATGCATATCCTTGAAAACACAGGTTTCTGAACACATACAATACAGTCACATTCATCGATAATTATACTTCCAAAGCACTGTAGAAGTCCTGATATGTAACCTACATATGTGTTTATCCTAGTATGATTCTAAAAGAAGCTGAACCTCTTGTACCACACCCTATCCCACATCCTCAGAAGCTCAACCACAAATTAAAGTAATCCCCTTTCCCCGACCCCCAACAAAAAAAAAAAAAAATCAATAAGAGGTCTTACCGACTACCAACTAGGCTATCCTTTTGGGAACATAAAAGCCATGTGCTTATATTGTGAATATGTATATGTGATGACAGAAACCAGTAAGATAAGAACAGAATATCATAGTAAAAAAAGTAAAAAAGTGTTTAAAAATAATTTTGAAAAAGAAAAAGTAACAAGAGAACGTAATATTATAGCAAAGCAGAGAACAATTGGAACAAATAAATTATGTCAAACATGCCTGAAGTCTCTTGGCCATAGCCAGGAACGGCTGTACATCTCCTCTTGTTCCCACAACAAGCATGGTAATTTTCAATCTTGGGATTGATTTTTTGGACTCATAAAAACTGGTATTATCAAAAGAGACAGGTGGTGCTTCAACAGGTTGAAACTCTAATAATTCTGAAGCTGCAGGTGTGCCTTTATTTATATCAACTTCAACTGTGCCATCATTTTGGATCCTGACTAGTTCCACAATCAGCTTTTTCTGAACGGTAAAGATAAGGAGAAATCATAAACAATTAAAGGAAAGAAATGGAAATTTAAAACAATCACAAACATAGACACTGAGGCAAGATAAAAATTAAATAAAATTAAATAAAAGATGAACATCATTTATTTCTTCCTCAATAACATTAAAGGATGAGTGGCTCACACAAAGGCCACAGTAAATGGTTCTAGATGTAACAGAGTTAGTCAAAGCTTTGTAATAAGAGAAGAAATATCCATGCAGCCACAGTCGCTCCAGTTGTTGATTAATGAATCTATAGCATTGCTAAATTTATAACTTCAAACTCTTTAGACACCTTAAATTGGTGTATAATGCTGTAAAACAAGGGCTACCTTGTCCTCCCAAAAGTAAGTAAACAGGGAAAAATATTCACAGAATGCAGTTACACAAAATAACCCAATGCATGTTTCTGATGTATAAAGAACAAGTTAATATTGTATTTGCACTATGATGTATACCCGTGTTTGTGAACAGGCAGGAATATGGAAAATCGCAGTCTCATGCATGCAGTTCTGTATCTAACTGTTTAGGCTCTTATGAGCAAGCAAGGGCATAAAACTTGTCAAATGCAAGTAATTTTGTACCTTTTCACGCTCTGACAGTCTATCCAATTTCAGGTCATGCCTTGGTACATTCTTCTTTTCTGTCATTGACCTTGAATATATAATCTCATCATCATCATTTAGTGAATTGTTGTAAGCAGTTATAGGTGCAGTGGTGCAATGATCCACGCCTTCAAGAACAGATGCTTTGGCATCAGTGAATATACTAATAAACTTTGTATTAAAGGAAAATGAAAAATTCCTCAACTATTTAGTAGCTTCCTTACACACAACAGTTAACCAAAAAAAAAAAAAAAATTATATAGAAAGTTAGAGATGAATATAGTACACAAACAAGCAATCTCTATTCTCCATCATATTATGTTCTAATTACTAGTTAATCACTTCAGTATTATGTCAGCGCTTCAGTTATATATAGCTAAGATTATAGTCACTTTCTTTTAGCTCAGTTGCAGTAGTAACAAAAAATTAGATCCAGATATGCAACCCAGATTACATCCCATAGTTCTGTAATAGATCTTCAGTCCACTTTAGCATAACACATTTAAGGCCATGATTTAAAATTAATTTATCCATTGCAGTACTGGAACTTAACTAACAACGATAAGTTGTTGACACCTAATTTCCCATCCAAAGAAAAAGGTATTATGCAGTGTTATAAAAAGATGACAACATCAATTACAAGCTCTAATGCATAAACAGGAAGAAAAGGAACTAAAATTCAATGTTGCTGGGTACTAACCTCGTCGAGTCGAAGAACTAACACTCCAGTCTCTGGCCTTGAAAATCTCCAAAACTGATGGCTGCTTTGATGAACTTGTCCCCTGATTTTCTTCCTCATCAAATGAGCCTGCACTGGAATCTTCTTCGGAAGACAAATAATCCACTTTTATTGATGTATCAGCCACATCATTCTGCTCCACATCCTTCTTCAGTTTCTTGCTCCGGCTAACACCTTCCCCCTTCCCTGAATCTTGTAATGGATGATCAAACCCATTACTCCCCATTTCATCAGAACCGTAACTTCAACAACTAAACTCCACCAGGACACTACCACAAAACCCTCTAATTTCAATTCTCGGCACCCAACTTGTTCAATCTAACAGCAAATATTAGAGCTCAAAACGTGCAAGACTACAGTAAAGAACTAAAACCATCAAGCATACAGCTCTAAAGCCCTCTAACAATGCTAAACAACCTCAAAAGATGAAGCCTCAATAGACCAAGAATTTAACAGCAATTATTCACATCCAAATCCTCCAACTCAACCAGCAAAACTCGGTGAGTGACTCACTAGATTCACAACTCTAAAACCCTTCAACAAAAATTTCTTACATTCAACCCACCTTCACAAATCCTTAATCAAGAAGTAAAACCAAGCGGGCCCAGAAACTAAAAAACGTTGAACAACAACTCCCACTTCCCAGAATCAGAATTCAAAGATTTGAACGAAGTGAAGGCACGTCCAAGTCCAAAAAAAAAGTATTGGAATCATCAACTTTATTTAAATGCTAAACTATACTTAACCCAATCAAGCAAACAAACAAACCAGCACACCCACCAGTCAATCAAACTACTAGAACGTTAGGTGAAGTTAAAACTCAAAACTTAAAGACCATTAAACACTAAACCAACAAAAGAATCACCTAAAAAAACAAGTAAAACTTCACCTTTTTCACGACAAGAATGAAACAAGCAACATGACAACTGAAATTGATAGGTAGGTATTCAAACTTATAGTCAAAACAAAGAATAAACAATACCCTCTTAAATTGCTCACAAAACAGTAACAGAAGTACTGAGAAGAACTATTTTTTTTTTTTTTTTTTTTTTGTAATAGAGGGCAGTTTAGTTTTAGCATGAAACTTGGTTCATCACTGTGTTTCAAAACGGGAAGACGCTGTTGAAGAGACAACAGAGAGAGAAAGGAACTGTAAAGGGAGCAAAGTAGTGAAATTTTATAAAATATTATATTGTTTGAAAAGATTGATATTATAAAATATGTGTTGGAGCGAGAGAAAGGTCGAAGAAAAGGTGGAAAATTTACAAGGCTTATGATGTACAGAGGTTCGTCGGTGAATGATGAGATGCGAAACCGAAGCCAGCCAACACAGCAATTATAAACTCTTTGAAATTGGTAATCCACTATACAGTCTATACTACCTTAAGCCATAAGGTTCCCAGTCGCTGTTTGGGTGAAAGTGTCAGGTTTTCAAAATATGTGGATCAATTTTTCCCAAAGCTTGGAGGGAAAATGTAATTAACCTGTCCTTTTAATTTGAAAATGAATTTACTCATAATCTTTCAAATACTACAACATACCCCCTTAAATTAAAGGCTATTAATTACATTTTAACTCCGAAATAATATTTTTTATGCAGAGATGAACGTATGTTAAGGTGACATTAACCCGACTTTACTATAAAAATAATAATACATAGAATATATCCATTTTGTCTTTATGTAGTTTAATATATGTTAGGGTATGTTTGTTTTATTATTTTGAGTGGTATTTTTGAAAAAGTTGAGTTGAGTTATTATTAAGATGATAGGATTTAAATTTGAAAATGTGTTTAGTAAGATTTTTTTAATCCCCTATATTTGTTAATTTGTTAAACACCCCCTACAAATAAAAGTTTTAAAATTAACAAAAACACCTCCACTCACCCATTAAATGCCAATAGCCGACCACCGGCTGTCGGGAATATGTGGGTGGGTGGGGGCATTTATGTTAATTTATAAATTTTTATTGTTTAGTTAAATTAACAAACCTAGAGAGTTAAAAAACTAAATATTTTGAGTTTAATAAAATACGATTGGATTTTGAAAATAGTAAAATAAACATGTATTTTGAGTAGAATATGATAGGAATAATAAAACAAACACACCTAAGTATTGTATTCTAGTAGTTTAAATAGCAAGATTTGAAATAATAGACCCCAACTCTAGAAGAGGTAAATGTAATTATTGGTCCAATTTGGTATGATCCAAGTAAATATACTTTTGAGTGATGTCCACATCTTATCTAAATGACCCATTTTAAAACTTTTTACATAATTTCTGTTTTATCCTCTTATAAAATGACTAATTTAGTCAAATTAAAATTAATAAGTACAGTTAAGATATTTAGTTATTACAAAATCCCTAATTTCTATTCTAATCCTAAAATCTTATTTTAGATCAATATTTTTCAATTCTTCCTCCACTATTTTAACTTCAAATTTTTATTTTTATTTTTATTTTTTTAAAACTGTAGACGGTAAAATCTACAGTTATAAATACACGGATCGAATCTTATAGTGCGAGTCACTGACAGTCTGGTGGACCTGCGGGGAAGACAATAAAGGTGGTTAGGGCTAAGGCGGCACTAGGGAATTGTCAGAATATGACTGGTTTGAGAGCTAGAATGTGAGAGCTAGCAGGTGATTTCTCGATAAGAGGGGTATGCTTCCCCTTATGTAGTGAACCTATGAGGTTAGTCTCCTAGGAGGATTATGAATCCTTTTGGTAGAGGAGTTCCAATTTGGGAAGAAGATCAGATCGTTCCCCTTTTTGGCTGAGGCTTCCCAATTTGAATAGGATACGGGATCATGCAAGAAGAGAAAATGGAGTAAGATTCTGATCCCTTTGTGGACTATTGTGGGCGAATGGGCCAGACCTAGTTCAGCTTAACTTGTAGGGTAGCCCAACTCATTGAGCAGACAATTCACAAGGTAGTTTAAGTGTGGACCCAACCAAAATTGGGCTAAGGTCATTGGGCCGTGAGATTGTTATTTTGTTATTGGATCTCGTCAGGTCCAATACGCTTTTTGGCCTATACAAAAACCAAAAAAACAAATTCAACAGTATTCCATTTTATAATTAAATTAGTTATAATAATTTCCAGTGATCAATAATTGTCTTATAATTGATTTAATGGCAAAACAAGATCTCAAACGTGATCGTTATCAAATTCTATAGCAAAAAAAAAAAAAAAAAAAAAAAAAAAAAAAAAGATTGATAAAATATGAGATAAATAGTTAAAAGAACAATAAGAAGTGTAATTTTTGAAATATATGGGGTTTATTTCAGTATATAGATATTTTTAATAGGTTTTGTGGGGGCAAATAGCATCACTCTGTGCTTTTATTGAGAAATTTTTTATAAGTTCAATATATTAATTAATATTTTGACAATCTTAAGTGAGATATGTATTATAACTTATTAAAATAAGGATGCTATACTCATAAATTTATTATAGAATCATATATAAAAAAAAACCAATAAAGATAAATAATTTAGCAATAATACTCTTCCTACCTAATTTTTTTTATTTGAATTATATAGTATCATTTTTTCATTAGAATGATAAAAATATGTATAGAATATATATAAAAATAAATGTGAAACATATTAGATTAAGACATTAGGTGTGTGAATTAATTAAAAAAAAAAATCAAAAGTACGTGCAATGCCGTTTCCTAATGGAATCTTGGGACAGCGGCCAGCCTTGTTGGCTTGACGAGGATTCGCAGACGCTGTTTTAACGCCGTCAAAATATCCTTACCAAACAAGACTTAAGTATATTTAATTAAATATATAAATATTTTTGTTGATACTTGATTTTGATACCAACTATTTGCACGTGCGAAACACTAAACGGGCTTAAAAGTCACATGCGATGTGAGGATATGTAGCTAAATAAAGGGTGGAAAGACGATGTTTAAAGTGGTTCGGATGCTCAAAAACGAATCTTACGTCTATTAATATTGTATTAATGAAAGTAAGGTCAGGTCGTGTTCAGCGAGCTGAGTCACAATTTAGAGAATACAAGAGAGAGAGAGAGAATAAGCTATTATGGAGTAAAATTAGCTAATCCCGCAAATGAGTGAGGATGCCTCTATTTATAGTGTGATGAATCAAGGTAATGATTACTAAATCTGTAAGTGGGTGGGTACCATATAAATCCTTCTCTGTGTCCCATAACTCACTTGTCTGAGTGATTTTCTCGACTTATATAGGGATTGGACACGTAAACGATTTCCAACCATCCGCTATCTTGACATTTACCCACTGCACTGACAGGGGTATGCCACTTACGTTATTATGCGACGTGGCTACGTCTGAATGATCGTAGAATTTTCCTAAGCTCTGACCATCCCATACTGATAAAACTCTGCGTCAGCACTACTTTTTCAGTATAACAATTTTCATCACATGTGTTAATATAAATATGCAAAAAGATTATAAGAAAGCAAAGAATATTCATCCAGTATCATTGGAAAATGCTTCAGGTAATAATACTGTATCATTGATTTTAATTATATATAAATATTTTCCAATGATACTGTATCATTGATTTTAATTATATATAAATATATTGTTTTGTCTGATAGTATAAAGCAAAGCAAAATTAACAAATCTAATGGTCAAAATTGGTTCAATCCGTCTCCGGTTTATAGTCTTAAATTTAATGACGATGAGCCTAACAGGTATTGAGGGTACAACTGGCATTAGGTGTCTTATGGAAAAAAAAAAAAAAAAAAAATGTCCCCTTCGCAATAAATAGAAAATAATTAGGAATAATAAATATTAATAAAGAAATCTTCCTTGTATAGGCAAGCTACCAAAATTTGTAACGTCAGGCTGGCAACACTGAAACCCACCCAGTCAATCTCAGACTCTCAGTATCAAATTAATGAGAGTCGTAATATCCATTAAATAATGTTACTCAACTTTGTAAACTAATCCTATATGTATTTACACCTATGAACTAATACGTAAATCTTTGACCATTCTATTTTATTAATTAATTAATTAATGTTATTATTTTATACCAACCACCCAATTCAAGTACCTTTAAAAAAATTATGCTGCTTTTTAAATAATATTTATTATTATTATTTTTGTTTAATCAACTAGATGAGCGGATTAGTTTGTATGTATCTCATTTAATCATTTGGGCCTTAAAACTATTAATCGGATAAGAATCTCAATGACAAACCATCACTATTAGTACATGAGAAACTCAAGAGATCAAGAAATTTCTTTTTGCTTTTTGAATAATTTCAAATAAATTATTTTAACCCAATTAAAATAAAGAAAAGGAAAAAAATTATTTACAAAATGAAGTGAGTTTGGACCCTTGAGATTTGGGCTTTCGTATGCACCGAAGCCCAGTCCATGAAAAGTGCATATGATATATTTTTAATAAAAATAACAAAAAGAAATAAATAAATCAACAAAATTCATTGTAAAATTGAAACAATATCACACATACTTGTAATATACAAAAATAAATAAAAAAGAATTTAATTTAATTTACACTGTACAATGCTTGTATAATTAATTAATTAATCCTTCAATTTTTCTCACAAGAGATGGATGAATTACTTATCATCATTTCCTTAACGACAAGAACCCTCGCCCGATTGATTGTAACAAGGCACAAATAAACATGTTCTTCAAGCTCTTCAACTCGTTTCTGAAATCCAACATTGCTCTTCTTGATTTCCTTCACCAAATGCGGACAAAATTTATCTTCCTTTCTATCCAAACAGAACTGAACCATCGCCTTATTGTGTTCAATTTCATCCTGAAGCCTCGCAACAAGTCTCCCCATCGTGTCGAAATCCCTGTTCAAAATATAAGTCCCTTTGGCCGCCACATCGAGTTGCTCTTGAACTTTCTTCAGGAATCCACTCCTCAAGAATCTGAAGCTGAAGAGCTTTTTCCGGAAGCACTTTGCTGGGAAGCTGAAAAGCACCGGCCCCATGAGGAGTGCAGTAAGAGTATGCGCCGCGAGAACAACTGCAGTGACAGCGATTAAGCTACAAGCAGCAGTTATGCAAATCCCGGTGGCTTTATTTGCGAACTTGATCAGCTTAATTTTTCTAGTAATCTTCTTTCTTTTCGACTTCAAATGGTGCAACACCGAGGAGTACTTCTCGTGAATAAGATTGAAATCGCTTTTACCCGGATTGGAAAACGGATTGTTTAGTATTATGAACGAGTTCAGCTTGGAGACGATCGAATCGACTTTCACCGGAGAGTAACAATATTCTTCGATGGCGTCAAGTGCCCCTTGAATTAACCGATATTCGCATTGGATATGGCTGATGTTCTTGAGGAGATGGGTACAAATTGTTGAAGCTTCGGCGCTTATGTCGAAGTAATTAAGCATGAGGCCTTTGAGCTCCGGCAGTTTTGAAAGAACAGCCGATTCAAGAAGGCTAGGGATCGTGTCCTGGTCGGGTTCGAGGAGGATTTCTGAAAACTTTTGATCGCAATAAGATGGAGAAGAGGGTTCGTTGTTGACAAGTAATTTAGCTTTTGAGAAGAATTCTGCATACGATTTTGTTCTTAATGCACTGAGATATTCCTCATTAACATTCAAGCTTTTACGTGCTTCTCTCACTCCATTTTCATCATCTACATCTGAAATTCATAGTAATTTTATTTTCCATTTATATATATATATAATAAGATATATACATATATGTATGTATGTATATGCATGTATTTATAATCAAATAAGTATTAGAACATACCAGATCTTTTGAATTTCGCAGCTTTAAGTTTTGCCCACAACATCTTGAGTTCTTAACTTTTACTAGAACAAACTTGATGATCTTAAATAGAATAAGAATTCAACAGCTCTCAAACATTCAGGGAGAAATTAAATAAAAGTTTTGTTATACTTTGATTTTGATACCAACTATTTGCACGTGCGAAACACTAAACGGGCTTAAAATCACATGCGATGTGAGGATATAGCTAAATAAAGGGTGGAAAGACGATGTTAAAGTGGTTCGGATGCTCAAAAACGAATCTTACGTCTATTAATATTGTATTAATGAAAGTAAGGTCAGGTCGTGTTCAGCGAGCTGAGTCACAATTTAGAGAATACAAGAGAGAGAGAGAATAAGCTATTATGGAGTAAAATTAGCTAATCCCGCAAATGAGTAGATGCCTCTATTTATATGTGTATGAATCAAGTAATGATTACTAAATCTGTAAGTGGGTGGGTACCATATAAATCCTTCTCTGTGTCCCATAACTCACTTGTCTGAGTGATTTTCTCGACTATATAGGGATTGGAACACTAAACATTTCCAACCATCCGCTATCTTGACATTTACCCACTGCACTGACAGGGTATGCCACTTACGTTATTATGCGACGTGGCTACTTCTGAATGATCGTAGAATTTTCCTAAGCTCTGACCATCCCATACTGATAAAACTCTGCTAATATACTTTTGAGTGATGTCCACATCTTATCTAAATGACCCATTCTAAAACTTTTTACATAATTTCAGTTTTATCATCTTATAAAATGACTAATTTAGACTAATTAAAATTAATAAGTGCAATTAAGATATTTATTTATTACAAAATCCCTAATTTCTATTCTAATCCTAAAATCTCATTTTAGATCAATATTTTTCAATTCTTCCTCCACTATTTTAACTTCAAATTTTTTTTTTTTAATTGATAACACTGTAGACGATAAAATCTATGGTTACAAATACGAGGATTGAATCTTATAGTGTGAGTCATTGACAATCTGGTGGACCTGTAGGAAAGACAATAAAGGTGGTCGGGGCTAGGTGGCACTGGGCAATTGTCAGAATATGACTGGTTTGAAAGCTAGAATGTGAGAGTTAGTAGGTGATTTCTCGATGCCTGATAAGAGGGGTATGCTTCCCCTTATGTAGTGAACCTATGAGGTTAGTCTCCTACGAGGATTATGAATCCTTTTAGTAGAAGAGTTCCAATTTGGGAAAAAGATAAGATCAATTCCCCTTTTTGGCTGAGGCTTCCAATTTGGATAGGATACGGGATCAGGCAAGAAAAGGAAATTGAGTAGGATTCTGATCCCTTTATAGACTACTGTGGGCGAATGGGCCAGTCCTAGTTCAGCTTAACTTGTAGGGTAGTCCAACTCGTTGAGCAGACAATTCACAAGGTAGTTTAAGCGTGGGCCCAACCAGAATTGAGTTAAGGTCATTGGGCCTTGAGATTGTTATTTTGTTATTGGACCTCATTAGGTCTAATACGTTTTTTGGCTCATACAAAAACAAAAAAACAAATTCAACAGTATTCTATTTTATAATTAAATTAGTTACAATAATTTTCAGTGATCAATAATTGTCTTATAACTGATTTAATAGCAAAACAAGATCTCAAATGTGATCGTTATCAAATTCTATAGCAAAAATAAATAAATAAATAAATAAATAATAAAAATAAAAATTGATAAAATATGAGATAAATAGTTAAAATAACAATAAGAAGTGTAATTTTTGAAATATATGGGGTTTATTTTGATATTTAGATATTTTTAATGGGTTTAAATAGAAATGGGATTTAATAAGATAAAATGTGGGGGCAAATAGCATCACTCTATACTTTTATTGAGAAATTTTTTATAAGTTTAATATATTAATTAATATTTTGACAATATGAAGTGAGATATATATTATAATTTATTAAAATAAGGATGTTATATTCAGTAGCGGATCCAAAAAATTTTGTTAGGGTGGGCCAAAATCTAGAAATTATATATATTAGTATTTTTTAAAATAAAATTGAGGGTGGACCAAAAATGGGCTGAATCCACCCCTAGCTATATTTATAAATTTATTATAGAATCATATAAAAAAAAAAAAAACCAATGAAGATAAATAATTTAGCAATAATACTCTTCCTACCTAATTTTTTTTATTTGAATTATATAGTATAATTTTTTCATTAGAATGATTAAAATATGTATAGAATATATATAAAAATAAATGTGAAACATATTAGATTAAGACATTAGGTGTGTGAATTAATTAAAAAAAAAAATCAAAAGTACGTGCAATGCCGTTTCCTAATGGAATCTTGGGACAGCGGCCAGCCTTGTTGGCTTGACGAGGATTCGCAGACGCGCTGTTTTAACGCCGTCAATTGAGCTAAAATATCCCTACCAAACAAGACTTAAGTATATTTAATTAAATACGTAAATATTTTCATCACATGTATTAATATAAATATGTGATAAGATTCTAAGCAAGCAAAGAATATTCATCCCGTATCAGTGGAAAATGCTTCAGGTAATGATACTGTATCATTGATTTTAATTATATATAAATATATTGTTTTGTCTGATAGTATAAAGCAAAGCAAAATTAACAAATCTAATGGTCAAACTTGGTTCAATCCGTCTCCGGTTTATAGTCTTAAATTTAATGACGATGAGCCTAACGGCTGTTTGGTTGGGAGTTATGTGAGATTATTGGGATTAAGTCATCTTATATTACTTGATTATCATATTTGAAATATAAGATATCGGTAATCTTCAAATACCAATAGTGATTACTATTAGAAATATTTGAGATAATCTGATTACCTCAATTTTCTTAGGTATTTTAAGATTACCATAGTTATCCTTTTTTGTTACAATTCTATCCTTATTAATAAAATTTTAGGACAATAATACCCTTATTTTTTAATTTATTTACGTGAATGTGACTTTTACTATTTCACCCCAATTAATTAACTTTTTTGACAAAATTACCCTTAAATTCAAAACAAATTACAGCCCATCCAGGCCACCACCCCCACCCACCAGCTGCTGCAAACCACTATCGCGGCCAGCCTCGACAGCCGCCAGAACGGTGCACAGAAGGCCAAAAATGGTCGCCATGCACCATATGGTCATTTCCGGCCAGATCTAATATGACCTTCAAAGGCCAGATTTGTCACGTCTAACCATTTCCGGCCAGATCTAATATGACCTTCAAAGGCCAGATTTGTCACGTCTAGCCATTTCCGGCCAGATCTCTGGCCGGAAATGGCCTACAGTGCACAAAGGTCATTTCCTGCCTTCCGTGCGCCATTAGGTTGTCGGCTGCCGACAGCCTGCGGTGGTTGCCGGCGGCCGGTAGTGGCTAGGTTGGTGGGGGTGCTTTGTTGATTTTTTAAACTTTTACTATGGGGTTGTTTTTGCTAATTTTTTAAATGTAGGGGGGTTATAATAATCCAAATAATAATCAATATTAAAAAATAATATAATAATAATATTTAATTAGAGGACAATTCAGTATTTTAAATAACATACCCACCAATTTATTTCTCCCAATCAAATATATTAATATAGCATATCCATCAATTAACCAAACACATTTTCCTAAAGATTCTCAGTAATCTTCAGGATAATCTAACTTTCCAGTAATCTACCATTCTCTAAACTAAACGCCCCCTAACAAGTATCGAGGGTACAAGTGGTATTAGGTGTCTTATGAAAAAAAAAAAAAATAATAATAGTCCCCTTCGCAATAAATAGAAAATAAATAGGAATAATAAATATTAATAAAAAAATCTTCCTTGAATAGGCCAGCTACCAAAACTTGTAACGTCAGGCTGGCAACACTGAAACCCACCCAATCAATCTCAGTATCAAATTAATGAGAGTTGTAATATCCATTAAATAATGTTACTCAACTTTGTAAACTAATCCTATATGTATTTACACCTATGAACTAATACGTAAATCTTTGACCATGCTATTTTATTACTAATAATTAAGTTATTATTTTATACCAGCCAACCACACCCAATTCAAGTACCTTTAAAAAAATTATGCTGCTTTTTTATAATATTTTTTTTTATCAGCAAGGTGAGTAGATTTTTGTGTGTATCTAACTAATCTTCGCACTCTTGAAATTATTGATCAGATAAAACCTCAGTGACAGACACCACTATTAGTACATGAGAAACTCAAATTCAAAGAATTGGAATTTCTTGTGCTTTTGAATAATTTCGAATAAAGTTTTTTAACCCAATTAAATAAAGAAAAGGAAAAAAATTTTTACAAATTAAGTGAGTTTGGACCCTTGAGATTTGAATAATCCTTTTTGCTTTTGATAATTTCAAAAATTTTTTTAACCCAATTAAAATAAAGAAAAGGAAAAAAATTATTTACAAAATGAGTGAGTTTGACCCTTGAGATTTGGGCTTTCGTATGCACCGAAGCCCAGTCCATGAAAAGTGCATAGATATATTTTTAATAAAAATAACAAAAAGAAATAAATAAAACAAAATTCATGTAAAATTGAAACAATATACACATACTTGTAATATACAAAAATAAATAAAAAAGAATTTAATTTAATTACACTGTACAATGCTTGATAATTATTAATTAATCCTTCAATTTTTCTCACAAGGAGAAGAATTACTTATCATCATTTCCTTAACGACAAGAACCCTCGCCCGATTGATGTAACAAGGCACAAATAAACATGTTCTTCAAGCTCTTCAACTCGTTTCTGAAATCCAACATGCTCTTCTTGATTTTCTCACCAAATGCGGACAAAAATTATCTTCCTTTCTATCCAACAGAACTGAACCATCGCCTTATTGTGTTCAATTTCATCTGAAGCCTCGCAACAAGTCTCCCCATCGTGTCGAAATCCCTTTCAAAATATAAGTCCTTGGCCGCCACATCGAGTTGCTCTTGAAATTCTCAGGAATCCCTCCTCAGAATCTGAAGCTGAAGAGCTTTTTCCGGAAGCACTTTGCTGGGAAGCTGAAAAGCACGGCCCA